TTTTTTTTTTGAGAAAATATGCATCGATTTTTATTTTTGTTTTGTCAGAAGCCCTTTTGGTTAATTTTTTTTTTGATGTGCCGTTTTAGTTTTTTTAAAGAAAAAGCAGCGATCTTTAATTAAAACAATTTACAAAATCGCAGCGATTTTTAATTAATTATTTTTTTTTTACAAAATAGCTGCTGTGGCAGCGATTTTTAATTTAAAAAAATATTATTATTTTTTTACACGAAATCGCTGCTATTTCGTCATTTTGTCAGAGGAAAATCGCTGCTGACGCAGCGATTTTACCCTTTTGGCTAAAATAAAAAGTGATGTGCCCTTTTGGAATTTTTGACAATTTTTTTTGCCCTTTAGGCTCCGGACTCATCAAAAGTGTACCAATATTGCAAATATGAGGGACTAATATATATATATATACTAGTCTTTGCACGTTTATCCCCTATTATTTTCATAAAATCTGTACATTCCTAATTTTATATCTTCAAATCCATGTTTCCAAAGACGGTTATTTTTATAAAATTTGTACATGCCTAATTTTATGTATTATTCTACTAAGCATGTGTTTAGTCAAACACAACAATATCATCTAATTTTAACACAATTTTAGTTATTACTCCCACTATTTATTTTTAGCTGTCATATTGTGCTTTTTGAGAGTCAATTTGACGATTTTTTAAATTTAATTTAGATTGCACTAATTTGATATTTTAAAATAAGAATTTAGCTATTAAAAAACTATACGAAAAGTACTATAAATTGTAATTTTTTTCATATCAATATGATGGAAAAACATATTTGAAAATGTTAGTTAAAATTTATATCGTTTGACTATTAAAAAGAAAATAGTAACAGCTAAAAAAGAACGGAAGGAGTAGGTCATGAAATAGGAAATGTTGAACTATATATGTAAAACTAATTCAGATAATATAACATCTAACATTATCGGAGTTGCCGACATAGAATTAGCGTAAATACATAATATTAAAAAAATTATTAAAACACCTAAATAGGACTAACTTGCTTTTTACCAACCAAAAAAAGGCACAAGTATATCAATAATGATGTACCACATTCGAGGCAACCAAGCCATTCCCATGTATACAAGTCCAGTAACTCCATTATCTTTAGAATGTGATACATAATCTTTAGGTTTGTTCAAAAGTATGTAATTTTAATTTGGTTAAAAGATGAAAAAAGAAAATAACAAAAAACTTCATTTCATACATCAAATACCTTTTCAAGAATCAACATATATTAGACAACCAGGATTACATCTTCATGCTGGTTCACTACTAAATCATCAAAAACTCAATTATGCTAAATGATGATTATGACTTCTAAACTCTTCGTGTATGGAGAAAATGAATGAAAAGGTTGGGTATATTTTATTAGGAAAATAAATTGTTGATTGATTACATGTACATTGACATTATCAAAGGTTAATATTGCAATAAAGATGGGAAGATGAAACAATACAAGATTGACATTAAGATTATGTGGATTTTACTTCGAAGTAGTAGAGTGATATGTTGAAAGGTTGTTCTTCTTAATAGTTGCTGTACATTATGTCAGTTGATAGCTAAGTTATGCTGAAATAACAACATGCCTAAATGGCTATGAAGATGCCCGCGCCCCACGCTGTTAGGTAGAAGAAGCAGCAACGACCCTCTGGCCTCGAAAAGCAACTGTTGACACTGATGTTGCAGCCTCTACATTAGATGGCATACCACCACTCCAATGGGTAAACATACAATCCATTCAAATAACAACGCCACGTGCCTGGTCGAGCAGCTGATTCTCTGAAATTAGCCTTTTTCCAGTGATGGAGCAAAGATATCAGCAGTCTTCGCTAGGTAAACTATGAAGAGCCATTAGAAATAGTCAGGTAAAGTACACTTGGCCATGTAAAAATATGTTGTCTGCAGCAGGATAGTCAGGAACACTTATGTCTGGAATTATTAGTTGTTGTTCTTCTCCACCAGCGGAAATTCAACTAATATAATGAATGAGGATCTCTCCGCCTCACGAAGATACTGGACGGTGCCATCCATGATTTTAACAAGTTTCTGGCTGATGTATAGGGCAAGACCTTCCCTTGATATGCTCTGACTGTAGTGGAACATATGTTGAATTAGCTCGTCAGGTATCCCTGGGGATGGATGAGTGATCCTGAGAGGTGAAATGCAATATAGTAAGATTTAACGTACAGTGGAAGCAGATCACTCTTCAAACTTAGCACATAAACCTTGGTTAAGAATTAGGAGAAAGGGTATGCGATAGCTTATTATTTGAAGAGAGATTTTATTGTGATATAGGACTAAAAGATTACAACTTCAAGTACTTAAGCATCTAGCATTTAACCAACAACAACATACCCTTGTAATCCCACAAGTGGGATCTGTGGGTTCAAATGGTTATATTGTTGTTGTTGTTGTACACAGATACAAAAAGAGATCAAACATAGACTACAGTTACTGCATAGAACAAAGAGAGCACATAGATGTCGGTCTTTGTTTCGGAAATTATGTAATTAGTTTGTTTGCTTTGGTTCTTGTTCTGCCTGGGGCCTAGATGGCTATAGTACCCTTCCTAGAAGGTGATTGTAGTCCTAGGTGCTCTTTAGTTTGTATTACTTTCTTGGTTGTCAATGGTAATAGTTCACAGTCATTACCAAAAATAAATTTAAAAAATTGGATAAATTGAGATATTTTATATTTATTTTTTCCTTTCTTCCTTCTTTTCTGGAGGGTAATCTCAATTTACCCCTTCTCTTTCCATCCCCTCCTTTTAACTAGAAGAAAATGTTGGTTACTACAATAATATATGCAATGTATTACTCTTATGCTAAAGGGTGACAGAAAAGGATCACTCCAAAGAGTTCCAACATTTGAAATCTCAGAATCAGTGAAAACTGCTAAAAACCTAATCGAGCACTGCACTGCTACTTCTAGCCTTCTAAGTAAATTCTAACAGACCAGGAAAAAGAAATTCGAGGCAGATTTCCCTTGTTTGATACTACAACAACAACATACCCAGTGTGATCCCCACAAGTGCGGTGTAGGCAAACCACCCCTATCATAGAGGGTAGAGAGATTATTTGCAAAAGACTCTCAGCTCAAGAAAAGTGTTTTTCAAAACAAGTTTGAAAAATACAGGAGTTAAACAAGCTATGCTGAAAATATCGAAGAAAAGAAAAGTTTGAGATTTGACAGAGAAAAATAGTAAAGATAACCAAAGTAACATAAACAACAATGGTGATAAAATTGAAGAATACGATGCTCTCCCACAGGAAAGAGAGAAATCACTTGATTACCAACAGACCTTCTACTCTAATCCTCAACCTCCATTTTCTCTTATATAGGATCAGTGAGCTAAAGATGTGTCATATATTGTCTAATCACCTCTCCCCAGTTCTTCCAAGATCCATCTCTACCCCTCCTTAGACCTATCAGGCTATCACTGTCAACCTCGCACCTCCTCATTAGAGCACTTATGTTCTTCCTCTTCATATGCCTGAACATCACAGTCTTGCTTCCCGCATATTGTCCACCACGAAGGCCACTCCCGCCTTGCCCCCGTATATCCTCATTCCTAATTTTGTCTCTCCTAGTGTTCCCAAACATTCATGTAACCATCCCCATTTTCATTAATTTCATTTTTTGGATGTGTGAGTTCTTGATTGGCTAACACTTTGCTCCATACAATATAGTTGGTCTAACAATCATTCTATAACACTTGTCGTTAAGTCAAGGTGGTACATTTTTATCACATAGGACACTATGTGTGAGCCTCCATTTCATCCGCCTAGCTCCAATACGATGTGTGACATCATCATCGATCTCCCCATTTCCTTAGATTACTGACCCATGATACTTGAAACTTCCTCTATTAGGAATGACTTGTGTATCAATCCTCACTTCCACATCCGCCACATGTGACGCGTCACTGAACTTGAATTCCGTGTACTCTATTTTGATTCTGCTCAACCTGAAACCTTTAGACTATAGGTCTCTCTCCAAACCTCCGGTCTACAATTAACTTCCCCGCATGTCGCGTCAATCAATACTATATCATCAGTAAATAACATACACCATGGTACTTTCCCCAAAATATGTCATATCAATTCATCCATCACCAATGCAAAAAACAATGGGCTAAGAATTAATGCCTGGTGCAACCCCATCTCAATTGGGAAGTGTTTCTTCGACTGTTCTCACTCTGTTCTTGGCTCCATTGTAAATGTCCATCCTTAATCACTCTAATATATGCCACATGTACATCTCTAAACTCCAAGCATCACCATAAAGCCTCCCTTGGGACTTTGTCATATGTCTTTTCTAGGTCAATAAACATCATATGTAAGTCTCTTTTTCTATCTCTATACTACTCCAACAATCTCCTTAAAAGATGAATGACTTCCATAGTTGTTCACGCTAGCGTGAATTTGAATTGGTTCTCGAAAATAAACACATCCCTCCTAATCCTCATCTCAACCACTCTCTCCCAAACACTCATAGTGTGGCCTAATAGTTTGATACCCATATGGTTGTTGCAATTTTGAGTATCACTCTTGTTCCTGTACAACGAGATCATTATATCCCACATCCATTCTCCGGATATTTTAGTCTTCCTAAAAGTAACATTAAACAACTAAGTCAGCCACTACATACCTATTTTGCCTGCGCTGTTCCAAAATTTCATCGGAATCTCACCTTGGCCAAATCACTCTTCCCCCTCTCATCTTACAAATTGCAATTTCCCCCTTAACCACCCCAAACTTTATACACCTACAATATCCAAAATCTTGATGGCTCTCGAAGTGCTCTAAATCACCCGACACAATATTCCTGTCCCTCTACATTAAGAGTATGAAATTATCCTGCTATCTGTGTTTAATGTACGTCTCTTCCACCAATATTTTTTCATTCTTGTCTTTAATGCACCTCACTTGGTCTAGGTCGCGAGCTCTCCTTCTCTCGCCTTGGCAAGCCTATACAACTTCTTTTCCTCATTTTTGTCCTTTAGTTCATACACGTGTTCAAATGTTGCCATTTTAGCCGTCGTAACTGCTATCCCTGCTTCCTTCCTTCAAGTCTTGTGCCTCTCCCTATTTGCCCTCTTTTCCTCCTCTTTATTGCTCTCCGCTAACTTCATGTAAGCAACTTTCTTGAATTCCACTTTTTCTTGGACCTCTCAATTCCACCACCAGTCCCCTCTATGTCCACCAAAGTTACCCTTTGAAACCCCTCACTTTCCTAGTTGCTTCCGTAATACAATTAGTTGTCCTAGTCTTCATACTATTTGTGTCCCCTCTAATCTCCCAAGCCTTATGTAATACGTTTATTATTTAACCCCATATTACAAGAGAGATAAAAGATTAACACGCAATAGGGCATTTTAGTGCCGTTTCAGCAGCTCAGAAAGCTTTACTTGGCATTTTTCAGCTTCAGCATGGTTTGCGGGTACATTATATGCATCGGTACCTCCAATTCAAGAGAATTTACATGTTCACTTAATGGTCTCCCATGTTTAAAGCGGAGGAGCTTTCTTCAGATATCATTAGAGAAAAAATAGCTTTGAGGAAATGAAGAATGGAACTTGCGCACTTTGTCACAGAATCTAAAGTCTCTACATTTGGATTAGTACTCGTAGAAGTCAAATTTCTGTAATTTACTCTGTTTAAACATTTTAAGCCACACAAATCATACTTTAAAAAAACCGTGTTTTCCAATAAAACAGCAAAAGATGTACACTAAGAAGCATGGAGTGTAATCACAATCTTGAGAACATAGCTGGGATTACGTTGAGATAACTAGCAGTAGTTAGTTCACAATCTAAAACAAGCCCATAGACTTCATTTTGACAAATGACTTGCATGCAAAATAATCAATAAATCCAAATCTGAGTGATAAGAGAATGATTACCGAAATTCAAGATGCATGACGTACATCTTCGTCCCTATACGTTCCTTCCTTGGAATTACTCTGAAATGCACAGAGGAGTCTTCAAAGGGAGTAAAGAGGATAGCTGTGGTCAAAAAGTCAGAAAGGACTTGTTGAAGCCTCAAATTGTCACCAATCAGGTACAGCTGTGATACTTCGACAGGCGAGTCCCATGTGACCTGAACCTTGCGCTCCTGACTAAGAATCATAACTTGATTAATGACCACTGTAACAACTTCTCCAAGATTGAACTCACAAGAGTTCATTTCCATATAGCTGAAAAAAATATTGCAATGATCAGGACCAGTCCAAAAATATATAAAGATAATAAATATCCACAAAATGAGTGTCACAGAGATGCAAATTAAAATGGATCTGCGGTCATACAATATTAGATAAGATCAGAAATGATCACAACCACCTACAAGTGCAAGTAGCGCATATAGAGGATAGAATGAGAGAATGTTGTTTGAAATGGTTTGACCACATGTTACATAGGCCTCCAAATGCACCAGTTCTCAGATGTGAAAATATGATGAATATGAACGTGTTGAAAGAGGAAGAGGTAGACCTAAAATCACATCGAAAAAAGTTTACTTAAAAATGTCATCTAATTTTTTTTTAGAATATATCAGTATCCAGCCAAATCTAGTAAAAATGGAAGTTGAAAATCCATATAGGTGATACCAACTAGAAGACTCTTGTATAATAAGGATAGAACTACTAGAGTATAGTAGAGACTCCTTGTGTGATAATCCTTAAGTACGGAATATCGAAATATTATGGACCCAAATAGAGCATATATGATGCTGAGGGTTCATACAGTCAGCCCCAACTAGATTGAAGCTTTTTGTGTAGTTGTCATCTATGTTGCTCGGACATGGTGTGGGAATCCAATATGGGTGCAGATTAGAGGTCGGATTCTTCATCACAAAAATTAGAATTCAGGGGTATGATCTGAGTGCAGATATGGGTATTGGGATATGACCAATAAATGTATATTACGACATATAAACTATAGATTTTGATTAGTTAAAGTTATAGAACTTAAATTAATCTAACTTAATATTCTTTATAAACACCAATATTTTACTCAAACGGTACCTTGCATAATAGAAAAGCATTTTCATACTTTAGACAAATATATATACCCAATCAATCTATACTTCTCGGTCAGAGAATGTAGTCAAAGTGTCCAAGGCAAGTTGACCAAATCAGGTATTAATCCCACACTTCACCCACACCCATGTCGTGTCGACACTCGACACAGGTGTCGCACACGAATTTTGAAGTGCCCACGCAACATAGTTTATTGTACAGTTGGGCTCTCTCTAATTCTCAGTTTGAAAACCAGAGAGCAGGACAATTTCATTTCTAAGCCCACTATTTTCTTTCCTACTTTCCCTTCTTGTACTTTGACTCTTTTCTTCCTTTCTCTATTTTCCTGACAGGGTAAGAGCCTTAAGCGTAATAGTGACCACATAGCATAAATTGTGGATCATTAGCCTTTTGGATAACCTAAGGGAACTTCTAAGCAACCCATTCTTCATTTGTTTCAATCCATCCCCGCCATTCACCATAGAGATACATAAACTAACATCAAGAAGAGAGAAAGACATCAAAGACTTTTGAAAGCAAAGAACAGAAGAACTGATGCATCAGCTTCCTTAGCAATCTCTACAAAACGGAAAAAAAAAAAGAAAAGGAACTTCCTTAGCAATCTCCCAAAATGCCAGGCACACACTTTGTGTAAAACAGGCAGGCAGAGTAGCTCTTTGCAAGTACATAGAAGTTACAGCTATGATCCAGATGAGCAGAAATACTAGTGCAATGGCCTGAGCATAAAACAGATATTTCTTCTTTACATAAAAGGTATAACAATAAATGCAGGTCAGATTATCATACCATTCCTCAATACTCTCAATATCAGTGTCATCAATGATCTTGGCTAGTTGTTCTTGACACATTGTGCTTGTCTTCAGCAATTGCCTTTGATCTTTGCTTAAATCAGAAGATTTCAGCAGATTCTGTATGCAGTTTATTCCATTTAAAGGGTTTTTTAGTTCAAGTCGAACATAAGCCAACTTTTTAAGACTATTTTTAGCAGCTTGTTCTGACAGCTTTTGCACATGCATTGCATATTGAAGTTCTGGACTAGGAACATGCAGGAAGCACAAGACCCCAGTTACCCGACCATTGTCATCAACCCTTTTATTTGCAGAGATTAAGGCTTCAATATACTTACCCTGTTTATTAAATAACCCGAAAAACAACTTCTCACCTTCCCCACCAGCAATTACTCTATTCAATAATATTGTGAGCTGGGTCAATGTGTCTTGATCTTTAACCCTGCAACCGAAGCTATTGACTGTGAAAACTTCACCAAGAAGCATTTGATCAATGACCTCCTCCCTCTTCGACCCAGTAAACTTGTGCATAGCATCATTCCATTCCACACATCTTCCATGTTCATCCATCACAAAAATTGGAGGAATTAAAGGAGATGGACTGCGGATAATTCCAACATAATCACCTTGAATGCGACTATATTTGTCCTTAATCAGCTTTAGCCCAGTAACATCTTTTCCAATAAAGCAAACTCCAACAATGTTTTGTCTAACATCTCGACTACAGCAGGCATTAGCCACTATTGTAATTGACCCGACCTTTTCTTGAGGACCAAGTGTTCTAAGTTTGATTTCTACATTTTTCTCCTCCTTGCCTGCAATTTAAATATCAAAATAGAATCATTTTCAAGGAAAAAAATCGAAAAGAACAAAATAAGCACATAAGTTATTGCATGGATGTCAAGTAGCAATACCAGTGAAATAAGACAGGAAGGGAGAGGGAAATACCCTGAATGGGGATCCTAACAAGAACAACAACAATAACATACATAATGTAATCCCACAAGTGGGGTTTAGGGAGGGTGGTGCATACGCAACCTTATCCCTACCTTGTGAAGGTAGAGAGAGGTTGTTTCAAATAGACCCTCGGCACAAGTAAAGCATATCAAAATCAAGTATGGAAGGGAAATACAGTAGAGAAGTCATGCTGAAAATAATGGAGAAGAGAACAGTAGCAACAACAAATAATGTGATAATATCCAGCATTGAGGTCGAAATAAAGTACAAGTTTCAGACTGCACGAGGGGCCAAAAATGTGAAAGACCAGCAATGCCCAACTGCAATGTCCAAAACAGTTCATCGAATTCCACTACAGTTTTTGACATTTCCTTTGTTCTTTTTAGAGCTTCATGTCAGAGGTCTTTATACACGAGGAAACAAACTCAAAATGAGACCAAATATGCTAGGATTTTTTTTTTTTTAAATGTTGCTAGGATTGATAAATAAACAATTTGACATAGCCGATGCAGCTCGTGCATAAGTTGTAATTTAAGAAAGGAAAAATAGATAAAGTGGCATGAAACAATCTTTTGTTTTTTTCACAAGGTACGTTCATCTACACATATTGCAAATATTGAACTAACAAAGTAAATGACAAGGATAACCAGAATATCACCTTGCAAAGCCAGGGAGAGAACACCTTTAATTGTGTTTGTTGTACCATCAATAACCAAATCAACCAAAGGTACACCTATAGCATTCTCTACCGGCAATCCAGTTAATTCAGAAACTTTAGAGTTCCATCCATTGATACGGCCTGAAGCATCAACAGCCAAAATGGGTAATGATGCTGTCTCAATGAGACGAACCATTCCGTTTGTGACAATATGAAGTTCATCCACTCTATCTATACTGGTATTTACAGCAGGGACATTCACAATCATTTTACAACAATCAGCAGCCTCATCTTGCAAAGATCCTCGCAATATCAGCTGCAGGGAATGGATGGCATCCATTTCCACATCTTCCCAAGGCAGGCTCCGCCGCTTAACAACCTCCAGAAAGGCTTTAAATGATGACCTTGGGTGCATTTTTCTTCCGTCATCCTTGTCTCCAGGAAGATGTTTTGCACCACCCCACTTGATCTCTTTAGCTGTGTGGGAGCGGAACCAGAAGAGGAAATCTTTTGAAGTTATTTTTATAGCAGCCATTCCACATACCGCATTACCGAGCACAGAAGCACCTGGGTAGCCAGCTTCCATGAGGCTATCAGTGTTTAAACCTGTACTATCACCATGAGATTCATTAAGCCATTCAGCTATATCTCTGATTTGGGACTCCGTAGGGGTAACACCATGCAACCAAAGTTTGTTCCTATAATAAAGTGCAGCCCCGTCACACTTTACAAGGTCCATAACATTAGGAGACTGAGTAACAATCCCCATGGGAGCATCTCTTAGAAGCATGTCACACAGAACAGTTTGAGTTTGCAGTATCTGCTTTTCCTTAAGTTGAGCTGCCATTTCCACTTCTTTATTGATCTGAACACTGAAAACTTGTAGCAAGAACTCACACGCGTACCTCAAAGGAAAAGAAAGAAATCTAGGGCAACTGTGATGGCAAACTACCAAACCCCACAGTTTTCTTTCCACTTGCTGGTCACTATCCAACTCATCATCTTGCTCACTAATCATCACAGACATCGCCATAGATGCAACAGTACCCATATTGGTCATGTATTGTGCATGACAGCCATGGGGAGCTCTTAATGTGGATCCACCAAGGCTCAACGACTGAGCCAATCTTGGGTCTTGAATCACCCTAATTGGTGGAGCTAAGCAATCACATATCATCCTAACCTTATTCTTCATGAAGAGAAATCTTGAAGCTTGTGGTATATCTGTAGCAGGGTAATGCAAGCCAAGATAAGGTTCTAGTTCAGGCATACGACATTCAGCAACTACTTCCCCGTGTTCATCCTCGTGGAATTTATAAACCATAACACGATCATAGCCTGTCAAATGACTCACTTCTCTAACTAATACATCACATAACAATGATATATCCCCGCTTGGCAGAGATTGCAATTTTCCAATGGCTTTAGCTGCTAGCTTATAAGATTTTATAGCTCCTGCTGTAGTTACAGGGACCTCATCTGGATCCACAGGCTCCAACTCTATTACTAATCCAACATCAATGCGGTGCAGAATCGCATAGAAAGGCTTCCCTGAGTTTTTACAATGAACCAAAATAGGATTTAGCAAACTAAGTTCTCCAAAGCTGGCTGCTTTTTCAAGGGCAGAAGCACCTGAAGATCGAAACAGTTTCCTGACATCAGTTCCAAATGTCAGAGCCTCTTGCTGTTCGATGCTTGGAACGGCATGAGGTGTCAAGTCCAACATTTCTGGTGCATTTTCGCTATACGCTATGACAGCAAAGTTGTGCTCATCGATAGCAATCATACATCCAAACGGCTGAATTAGACTTCCCCTTTGCATTTTCTGGAGATAATTAGATACAGTTGAAGATGGAAGATTGCTAGTGGAATTAGACAAGTTAACTGAACTAGAGTAATCAAACTGTTGCTCAGACTCCTCAAACTCCACATGGAGCTTTGCATCAACTGAAGTCTGAGCAATAACTCTAGCACCATGCCTAGATCTAGCTGAACTGCCCCTTGAGCAATTCGTCCTGTTTGTAGTAGAACTAGAAGACATCTCTCTATATCCTCTTTGAATTTCAGTTTCTCTAGCTATCTTTTGTATTGATTCTTAATAATCAACAAGAAGATATCAAAATTGGGGATGGAAAAACTCCCCTATGTTATTAGTAAAAGCCTAGAAGAATCAAGAATCAAGAGTCTGAAATGTAACAACAAAAAATTGAAAACCAGACAAAAACTCCAAAAGGTCTCACCTTTATCCAGAATAAATATAGTACCAAAATAAGGTGATAAAGAAAAGACAAGTTACAGCAAGAATCCACCAAATTCAACAAAAAGAAAAGGTAAAAGGTGATACCCACTTGAACTACCTTGTACCAATCCAAGATTCCTCCATGTGAAGAAGCACCAAAAGCTTATGAAGAAATTCTTCAACTTATGCTTCTTGATTGTCAATCATTCAGCCAAATCAAGAAAAATGGTCAGCTAAAAATAGAGTCTTTAAGCATATACTTTTGTTGGGGCTTTACCAAAACACCTTTAAATACTCAAAGAGCGGCACAAGCAATTAAATCAACTGAAATTTGCTGTAACTAATTAACGTTTGGTTGTCTACACAGGATGCTCCACATCCCTACATGAGACCACAGCAGCACAGAGAAAATATTTTAGGATTTAAGTCTTTTCTTTTCTTTTTTGGATTTTCTGCCTGAAAAGGACAACCACTCTCTGCCACTACTTTTTTTTATGATTCCCACTCATGTTTGGATGTTCTTTCTCGTGTTTGGGTTCGATGCACTTGAGTCGACTCTCTATGTAATAATAAGAATTGTGTATATTCTATTCAGACTCCATTGAATGAATATGTTGTTATTGTTGTTTATACGGAATGTTTCAGTTTGTTCTTAAAAGATTTGAGTCATTTTTATTTTTTATAGTTTTAAATTTTAATTTTTCACATCATATTTAAAATTATACGAATGTAAAAGATATTATACATTTTACTATTTTTAACTTGAGAAGATTCAAAAAAAAAATTGTTTTCTTGAATTAAGTGTTAAATTAAAATCAGATAAATAAATTAAATAATAATTCAAAAAAATCTAGTTAAAAGTTACTATTAAATTTTGTTATAACAGTACACACAATAAGAAAATTTAACTAAAAAACTAACAAAAATTGTACATTAAAGCATAAATCAATTTATTTATTTATTTTCTTCTTGGCTTATCTAAACTTGATAGATTTCTTTTTTCTTATTTTTCAAATTCAATAATTTTTTTATAATAGTAAATTCAGTTGAAAACTCATATTTTTATAATAACAGCTCAATTGTCCATCAGAACAAAATTTATTCAATAATTATAAACTCGGTTGAAAATTTTGAATATTAACACATACATAAAATGATTGTTGTGGGCAATATGAATTATGTCTTTTTAATTCAGTTTTCCAACAAAAAAAAATAAAAATGAATGTGAATTGTTACATAAATGTATTTTCCCCCCTCTATTTTCTAGCTCTTATACATATATATACATACATAATATAAATAGATTTAGCTCCCTCTCCATGCCTCTTGGTACTGCATAGGTTTTTAGATAAGAATTATTACAATTTAAGATGAGCTTTCGTCCTTCGCCGATAGCAATGTCTTGATATAAAGTCACATAGTCATTAATTTTATCATCAGAATGTCTATGAAATATAGATCGATCTTTAATATGATAACGTCCTTTTGAGGTATTAACTCTTAAATAAATATTAGAATTTAGAATAATACATTTTAAAACTCATATATAGATTCATAATCGCGAAAAAAGATATAGTATTAAATATAAAAAAAATTCAAAAATAAAAGGAAATTCTAGGTGATATAGAAAGCTATTGGCTATTGCAATACATGAAATAATGTAAATATTTGAAGAGGTTTTTCTCCATTCGTATTTAGAAAATATTTTTCAATTTTTCCATGTTATATTGGCCAAAAAAATATTAATGTGTGTAAATCTGCTTTTTTATGTATATGAAAAAAGTTATGAAGCATTTGAATCGATTACTGTTTATATAAAACATCGCTATAAATTGCTATTGATATTATGCTTATATGCATATACATATTTATCAAAGTATCACTTATCGGAGGAAAGAGGAAGGGAGTAGAGTTGGGGGTGTGTTCGGTACGAAAGAAAATAAATTTCTTAGTTAATTTTTGTGTTCGATATGTAATAAAAAATATTTGTATATAATCTAAACAAATATGATTTGAGATAGATGAGTGGTAGGGAATGAAGGGTAGGGCGAAGATGAGATGTATTAAAGAACATGGAGGATATAGGGGTGTTCACAGTTTGAATAAAAATCAATCTAAATCAAGAATGAACCAAATCGATTTGATTTGATTTGGTTTTATATTTTTAAAAGGGAAAAAGGACAAATATACCCCCGAACTATTGTAAATGGTATGCAGATACCCTTTGTCATACTTTTGGGACATTGATTCCCTTGTCGTCCAAAAACTAATACATATATGCCCTTCACTCTAACGGAAAACTAAATAGGGACACGTGGCGCAATCTTATCCATCGATTCAATATTTAATAATTATCGATCGGTGGATAAGATTATGACACGTGGGCATATATGCTCTAGTTTTTGAACGGCAGGGGCACTAATGTCCCAAAAGTATGACGGAGGGTATCTGCATACCATTTACGATAGTTCGGGGGTATAATTGTCCATTTTCCCTTTTTAAAAATCGATAGTATTTGATTTGGTTATGATTTTGTTCGAAAAAAACTAAAGAAATAACTAAATCAAACCGATAAATTATATACATATATTTTATTGTTAACACATAATATATTATTTTTATAAATAATTTTAAAGATCTTATACTTGTTTTCATCAAATTTATTTATAATTTACTTATGAAAGCAAATATCCCCAAGGTGAGAACATTTATCTTATTGGTTTCATGTATATGGCCTATGGGTGTCTATGACAATTTTTACGGGACTGGAAATGTCAGTCTCTTTTTTCTAGGTCAAAATAGTGAATTTGAAGCTTTATTCATAGTAAATTTAGTGATCGAAAATTTTGTAATGTCAATCATTCTAACTATTTTTCATTTTGAATGTATTGTTGTCACTTTTTTCACATTTTGAATGAATTGTTTCTTTTAGTTTTGTATATGATTAATAACCGAATAACCGAATCAAGCCGAACTGAATCCAATAACAACTAAATAGATAAATGTATATTATATTTGATTTGATTTTGATTTTGACCAATAACCAACCTAAACCGACCTGTAAACACCCCTAAGAAGATACGATCAATACATGATGTCACTTGTGGAATGAACTTAATTTTCCTCACTTCCTAAAGAAAATGTTTTTCAAATATTTTAACCAACCGAATATGGAAAAACAAAAAATGTGTTCAACCATATCTAACACAACCTAGAACTAGTACAAGTTGATTCCTCTAAGCAAAGAAAAGGTTGAAATCAATGGTGCAACATCTTCCACAACAAACAAAAACACAAAAACAACAAAACAAACTAACCCCACCACCAACAACAAAACAATTACCCATGGAGGGCATTTGATCATGTTTCATTTATAATTTGAAAAAAAAAAAGCTTTTATTTCAAAGTGAAAAATAATATCAAAAATTGAAGTTGTAATTACCCATAAATACAAATTGAAGTTTTTTTTTTTTTTTTTTACTTTGGTGAGTAATTTGAGGTGATAACACCTTTTTGTTTGGAATTTTACGTCAAACGTGTTTTTCGCAGCTCAACTCTAGAAAAAAAAAAAAAAGATTTCACAATGGAACACATCCTAAGCATGCATTAGTGTGAAGGGAAACAATCATTCACAGCCAAACCACATGAATGCAACCATAAAATGTGGTTTCCCAACAGCCAAATCATTCACATATTCGTCCTGTTTGCAACCAACCACCCTCAACTGTGCTAATTTTGAGAAGCCATACATGGAACTAGATGCACAAAGGACATGAACTTTTGACCTCATTTGCGATGAAAAAAAAAAGTCAGCCCAATACACTAAAGCTCCCGCTATGCACAGGGTCGGTCTGGGGAGGGCCCGACCGCAAGAGCCTATTGTACGTAGTCTTGCCTTGCATTTCTGCCAGAGACTGTTTTCAAGGCTTTAAACCCCGTGACCTCTTTATCACATGGCAACAACTTTACCAGGCTCTCCTTCAGAATAAAGGAATTATAAGCTTTAGAAAAGTTAGGCAGGTGCAGCAGTAAAGTCGTAATGAGTCCAAGTTTTTCTCAACCTAAGTATGTAACTACAGATACCAAATCGGAGACACCAATGTCACAATTGTTTAATGTGAAAGCGAGATGAAAACCATCAAGTGTGTGCATCTCTTTCAATAGACACGAGCGATATCAGCTTATTACCTTGAAAACTAATGGCTATCTATGCCAGGATTGTTCCGAAATCAAAGCTTTAAGTAAACAACCACACACGCACAGAAGGACATTCAAGATTTATGTGCTCTAGTGTCAAATGGACGATACACAGAGATGCTACAGCTAAAAAAACAGAGATTAATATCAGCAGATGATGAACACTTCTTGACATATGGAAAAAAATACGAAAGAGATGCTTTATCTCGACAGGCACAACATTTCCATATCCATAATCCATTTAGACTACAACTTCAGCTAAAACTGGTTCCAGAGGCTTGCAAGAAGAAGAAAAAAACGACGATATAAACCTACTAATCCCCTCCTTGTCTGTTAAAATCCTTCTGAGTTCTGTGACACACATAAAAGTCATGCATTTATGTGCAATCTCCAGGCACTATTTCCTATTCTAGATGTCCTTTATATCAAATAATAATGGTATCATGGTTAGTTTGCACGCACCTCAAATAATTGACCAACACATGTACTGGGTAACTCTAGGTTGTGAAATTACCTAGTTACACCTTTGTTGGGATTTGAACCAACCTTGGTTCGCAAGGCTGTTACTCCAGCTCATCGGGCGATAGGCCACCCCCCCTTGATCAGTTGATCCATATTCTAAAAGTCCCTTTTGTTTTTGGTACAGGAAAGAACTAATCAATGTTGAAGGAACTATTTTCAGATGCACCAATTCTAATGAGTTAAGCAGTTACTAATCCTGGTCAGAACATAGAAAGCAGGCTCTACTTCCAACTATAGCAAGCTGTAAAAATTGAACATAGCTAAGCATTTCTGAAAGTACAGTAAGTAACAAGGAGAGAATTTTCTCATTTTAAAAATAAAAAGCTGATGTATTTTATTTTTTTGATGACAAGGGAAACCCGCAGCCGCTATCCTTTGGGTGCGCACAGGGTAAAACCCCGCTCCTATGCAATAGCTCGCAAACCACATAGGAAAGGTAATCCGCACTAGGCAAGCCCGGTGCGACCAGCTCAACCCAGAAGGCAAATCCCTTGCTTTCGCTGGCAAGGGGTTTCGAACTTGAGACCTCCAACATGGAAGTCCCAAGCTCAAACCACTGGGCCACCCTTTTCAATTTCTGATTAAAAAGTGACTTGCAACACACCATTTGGTGAGACTATTTGGTCATTGTAGTTAAAGGAACTTACTACAAATAGCAGACAATAAAGATCACAGTAGAAACAACGTGGTAATAATGGATGCAACGATTAACATGAGATGCTAAATATTTCTAATTCAAAAAGGAAAAGCTGCTCAGTATTAATTGAGATGTTCCGC